ATTCGAATGTGAAAAGAATAATGCTGTTGATGCGGCCTCGTAGTTCAGCTTGTAGAGCGTGTGGTGTGCAGAAGCGCAGGCGGCGTCCAAACGTGGTTTCGAATCCCACCGAGGGTACTGCACTTCTCACAATATCTACATAAAGCAAGAAGAATCATTTAGAGACCAAATGTAAACGAGCATCCAGTCTATTGGGGAGGTTCACTGACAGTACGAAACCAAGAGTTATGTGTTGCGTCGTGTCTATCGAAGTCACCCGAGAATACATAGATCGGAAAGTCCATATAGGAAATACGGAGCATGGTAAATGTTTGTAAATATTTTGGAATCTCTAGAGGAAGTACTTGGGGTCACGTAAGTACTGTCCACTTCGAACGAACAGAAAACACTCGGAAAATAAGTAGTGAAGCTTATGGTTGTAAAATCACGCAGTTAGATGTTTACCAAGAATGATGGTTGTAAATGATGACAACCCGTTCTTGATTTTGAGGTCTCATAAAGGGATCGAGTATATTAAACCATTGATTTGTACAATTCTGAGTGTTTCTGGCTTTCTGCAATCGAGTATTTCAGTTAACTTCCAAATTTTAATATATAAGTTCAACCTGATTGTGTTATTGTTTTGAACAGATTACTTAATATTGCTTATTATTGTATTCACAGTGGTTGCCTCCTGAACGTTTACCTAGTATTGTGAATCTAGGAGTCCCTTGAAAGGATTTGATAAGGCTTTCAGAACAAACCGTCCTGCAGTCCATTTGCTACGTGGATGTTTCGCTTTCTCAATCATCCATCCTGGAGTGACTCATGCGTCGCTCCCTGCGGTACATAAAGCTTACCTCAACTTTAATTCAATTGAATATCTCGATAAGCAATTAACTGACGTGCCCTGTTCGAACAAATCGGAAAATATGAATAATTGAAAATAATACTATTTCCCCTTCCTCTCCTTCCCCTCCTTACACTCCCTGATGCAAATTCTGATATTTTGCCATGCAGATCATTGTTTCCACGTTGTCTACCAGACTTGTACTCCATGCATGTAAAAATGTTGGAACAAATGGAGGCCGATATGAGAATGACGGGGGAAAAGTATGGTGATCCCAGAGTGGTGGATTTTACCAGGCCTCCGTTTATTGTGTTACTTGATTCTTTGGAGCGTATAACCCAAAAGCAGTTGGATGATTTCGACCGGCCTTCAGCCGATGAAACGCAAGACTCCCTGTTTTTCATTCTCTACAAGAGATATTTTTCGGAATTCACAGTGGCCATGGAAACAATGCGAAAACTGACGCGACAGTCTTCTCGGTTCCGACAAACTATCAAGGTAGAGTGGCAACAGACGTATTTTATGGTTCTTCTTTACGTTTGCAAAACGTAACAATTGATCAAGAGCAAAATGTACATTGAGCTCAGTGTGCGCTGGGTTGGTGGCGTGGTCATACTCATTTCCATTATGAATGCAGCTTGTTTATTCAAACTGATTTATTCACCGTTAAAAGGATTAATAGCCACTCTAAAGTCATATTAATAAACATGGTTCTTCTGTGTATGATGAATTGGTCGTGTAAATAAGAGGTGAGCTGAAAACTGGTAAGCACAAACAAATGGAACCTTGCATTACTCTCACACAAGAAATTGTCTTTGTTTGCTTCTCTCCACCACATAGGAGTTGAGTGAAAAGAAAGCGAGTTTACTCGACAACAACCCAACAGCAGTTTTATTTTGGAACTACGAAAAACCTTTAAGGTATAACCTTTTTAAGGCTCCCGAAGACATACTTGATGATAATAAGCCGTTACCTTCTAAGAACTACCGCTAGTTCATACTTTTATTTATCCCTTTCCGATAGTGGATACAAACCTGTAATGGGAAGATTACAAAAGTTATCCTTTGGGTTTATATCCGAGCTGCATGCCGTAGACCTGATTTCCGGAACCATAATCAGCTTTAAGTGAAATGTGAGTTGCGAGCAACGGCCACGTATTGAAGCAATAGGGCTTCGGAATGACCAATACCGGCATTAAATTACGTCTTGGTATACTTATGTACTCGGTGGCTTGAGTACCAAGCAGCCATAGCTAACAGTGTCATACTATAAATGAACAGTTGTTGGTTATACGTCGACTAAACTTTTAAATAATGCCAGTGATGAATCTCTGCATCCGGCCAGTCGAAGTTAAACTTCTTTGTATCTACGACCGTGTAACCTGCATTGTTCCTTTGTATCGTGTGACATTTTTGTGTATTCTGCACTAATCATTATAGAACGCCCATCTAAAACCTTCTGTCAATATTGGAAAGTTTTTTTTTCATTGGACAACCACAGAGCTGAAGTAGATTTAGCTGACTTGGAACTTCGATGGTTCGGTCATAAAACAGTTCAAATGACACGTTTTGTGATTTCCTTATGTCACCATTTTTTAGAAGCTTACTCATGCGTTTAAAGTCGCTTGCAGGGAAAACACTCTGACAGTGCTTAAAAGTTAGACAGTGTTCCACCGCGGAACGACGTCCCCCAAAATCTTTCTGATTGTTTAGTTTGAAGTGAGATTTTTTATCGTATGGCTTCACATTTTTTGCCAATATCTTTGTTTGACTGAACTCAAGAAGTTGGAAGTTTTTAATAAAATAATACATATATAACAATAATAATGTTTATGAGAAAATAAATTTTATGCTGTTTTATCAACTGGTAAAGTGCTGCACGATTATAAAGGCGAAACTGGAAATGCACAACGGGGTTGAGAGAAAAATATGAGAGTAGAGATAGTTGGAATACGTTAAGACACCCGCAAATTTACACGCTACAGTAATAGTAATAACTATTGTTCTGATGTTAGCGATGAATGACCACGTGGTTTGAAAACGATAACAAGTTGTTTTTGAGGACACATGAAGTTTTCAGTCGAAAAGCGTTTGCTTTCTATATAGATCGTAGGCGGCCTATTTGACCCCTTTGATGGTAACCCATTTATCGTGTAGGAAGATCAGAGTGATTCCATCCAATAAATTGGTTTATTTATCTTGGTTATATGCGTAGCCCAATTGCACCACTTTGTCATGATGTGATGGCCATGACCATGCGAGTTATACAGAACGGCTCCTCAGCCGCAGATCCAATGATGCCTAAAAGGTCAAGGAATAGAGACCAGTCGGAGCTCGGTCTCACAAGGCCAGCTGCTTGGGCACTTACTTGCTTCCTTTGTCCATCTGCATTTGCCTTGGATAGGCCGCTACAACAAATAAACATGGAAAGGAGCAGTCTACCGATAAAAAATACCCCGCTAGATGGACGTAGCATCGGGGTACCGGGGCTTCCTCCCGAGAACGAGATAATTCTTCGGACTTCATTGAACAGATACCTCCCTTCCCAAACAGTGGCGCTCATGCATCTGGTCATTATCCATAGAACCCCAATCTATATGAACTCTCTCTGACTCAGCTCTTAATATTCCAATCTTCATTTCTATCTTTGTACCCAAATGGGCAGTCAGAAGACAGCAACCGAAATCGGCACCGGGAAATAGAAGGCAATGGTGGTAAAAACTGAGACGTGAAAGGCATGTCTACCGCGGACGCTCCGCTTGACAACCTCGTGTCTTTCAATGCAGTCACAGGGTGACTTTGGACAAAATGTTTAGTGTAGTTTAACGAGAATTACACTTTTTGCGAAAACCTCGAACCGCCTGTCCTAAGTTTTGTTGGGTTTAATGGAACCATGAACGGGAATTTCTTAATAGATTTTTCGGGAATAATTGGGATATTTCGGTAGAAGAGAGATTGGCTTTCATTCTTTGGAACGATAAATACCAAAGTACTCCAGAGCATTCCATCTTGTTGATGCAAAAGCATCCCCCATCAGAGTCACAGCTTTTGATTGCAATCGATCATCCAAATAATCCCTACTGATGTTACTCGTTTATTTAAATTTCAGCTCTGAAGCATTTATTTTTATAAAGACAATAGCATTCACGACACCTGCGTGAATATCAAAATCACTTACCTTGTACCCTTGTCACAATAGACAAACTGCTACTACTGAAGATACGTTGATCTGCGTTGGATATAAAGGTTGGTTGAGTGTCACTCGCATGATCTGGCTGTCTAATTTTATCACTAATATCTTTTTAATTTGGAGTGCAAATGAAAGTGGTCTGATTGATTTGTGAACTAATGTTTCTGTGCAGTAAGACACTTATCTTGGAACCAACAGCGTAAGTCAAAACAAATTTACTGAAACAGACAAAAATGCATCTCTTACTGTTCAAAATAGTACAAAGGCACCGTCCAATGAATTTCAACTAAAATGTTTTTGTGCATATCGATTAAACGAAAAGAAAGAAAAAAATAACCCCGAATTTTCCTAATATTATCATACTTTTTTCCATCGCATTAGCGACTCCAGGAACACCCCGAGTGCGAAGGCTTCGACTTTTCTGCATTTCTTCTGGCTCCAATACAAAGATTGCCACGCTACTTACTTTTAATGAAACAAATGATTAGGCATTTCCGCAAACTAAACCAAACATCAGCACAAATTGGAAATATATCAGCCAGTGAGGCTGTAAATTTGGCGGAGAGATGTGAAAAACGATTGCACACAATTCTGGTAGACTTGGACGCACAGTTAGCCGAACGGCGACAGCAGCCAAAAAAAAAGCTGTCAACCCTGTCACAGGAACCGAGTCGAGGATTGAGTGAAACTCGGACGGATTTGGCAAACACAAATGGCAACCACTCTCGATTGAATCCACCCCAACTAATTGAGCACAATTACGAAAACGCTCGAGGTCTATGGCCACGGGTCCGTCGTGCTTTCAGTGACAAACGATCGAATCCGTGAGTAATAGAAATGATAGAATTTGAAGTTTAGTATTGTACTGCTCGTTTATTTGCATTACTTCTGAGGCAAAAATGACGGTACAGATTTCCTTATGACACTACACATCACTGTAAAAGTTGTCCTGGTGGTATATTCCAAAGAGTTTGTTGATGTCATACACTCATTGACTGCAAAAGCTTTCAGTCATCAAGTTTATCTGATAGTCTTGGAAAACGTTCAGTACAAAGGTCATCTCTTAGTGCTCACTTTTTGACTTTCTCACAAAATAGCTAATATAAATCGCTGGCAGATTTGATCAGAAAGTTAAGTCCTGTCAAATTATTGTGTATATTTTTCTCTCTCAAACTACTCAATAATTTCTCCAATTCGAAAGTCAATCATCCTTTTTGTAGTTTCACCCGTGTTACCCACAAAAGAGAGAAAAAAGCTCACAAGCAGCCGTCTATCGTGCATTTCCCAGGAGAACATTTTTTCTTTTTTCGTATCAATCGCCCAGTTCAACATGAAGATGGAAAAAGTAATTGAAATAAGGATATGAAGCGCTAAAAATGTGGAGTTCACGAATACATTATCACAATCACTGCCATCATCATATGGACCACGGTTAAAAAACCGAAAGGATTCTACCTGAACTCTCTATGGCACCCAATGTACAAGTTTCACAACAGTGTTCAAAATGGATAAACGATAGGTAGATGTCAGTAAAGTGGTTTATGCGACCATTTTAATTCAATATGATAAGAAGTAGGTAGATCTTACTCATCCTTACACCTACGGGGTAAGAAAGCAATGCCTCCGAAAGGCTCATTATATTCTGGGTGGGTGTCTCGGGTTGGTTACTCTTTCCTTTTATCTCGCGGCATGCTCCTTATGACGAAGTGTCTCAAACAGCCTCTGCTGAGGAACCCTTTCTCACTCACGTCCCGTAATGAAGGAGTTGTACCATCAAAATGAAAGGACAAAGAGCCAACATCTGGGACTATAACCCGGTTGATGAACCGCTGGCAGTTCACCTAGGGAAGATAACTATGTCCTTAAATCCAAACCAACCAAGAAAAGGAACACGAACCACACACACCTTCCTGATTGTGATAGTGGTCACCGGATAGATTAGACATAAAGGTATAATGATCTCTTCTATGTTTCAACTCATCTGATGACGTATGATTCGATGAACTGGGCACCGGTCCCCAAAAGGCTGCTTACTATGAACTCCGTCTTGCTGTTTTGCTGCTCCGGTTTTCGAGCCAAAGACTCCGGTTGGGGATTCTGAGGTTACCCCATCTCCTCGGTCAGAGCAAGTGGAAATTAACCTACCCACACAAACTACGGATGCTTTCTTCATGTACTGTGGCACATTTGCTTGCAATTCCTGTGTAATTGGTTACGTGATAAACATACAAACATACATAAGATGGGAAAGGAGTTTCGTTCCTCTGAACATTTCCTTCCTTCTAATCCTTGTATCGTCCATGTATATCAGCCTATCCTTAGATATACCTGAGTTTGCCAAGCAATCGTTAGATACCGCAGCACATTTGAGTAGGAGTATCCATTCCTCGAAATCTACTGCTAACCTTTTAGTTTCCTTGAAAGGTTGAAATAACTGACTGATAACCCACTAAATACTATTCAATGTGCATAATGTAGTGGTTTACAGGGCTTTGAATATCAAACCAGTTGATGAATCTATTACCAAATCATCCTTTTGACAATGTTTTCCAGAGTCTGAACTTTCTGTGTTCCATGCCGAAAGAACCTTTTAGCATTCTTCTTATTCGTTGAGAAAAAGATAGAAACTACAATAATTCAAGTAAAACGTTTGCGTGGCAGCGTTATTATGCTATTCATCGGAAAGCGTACTGTTTTGAAGGCAACAAATGATACGCCTGCTGAGTAACGTAGAAGCAATGGTATAAACCTTTATAAAATATAAAAGCGAGCTTCACTTACCAGTCAATGTGAAAAAGTTTGAGATACCAAAGTTTTTTATACTGTTTCAAAACCTTTTGCTGACATTTTCACAATGTTATAAGCTGTTATAAGCTCATGAAAATGGGCAAGCCCATCTGGTAACAATCTGTGATCATAATTGGTACCTGACTGCAACTGTATATTACACGGTTCGTTAATTCTATCTAAACAATTGTTGAAAAGAGTGCGTCTGAAATCGTTAACGATCAATAATGGCGTTACACTGTATATAAGGAATCGATCATTGTGCATTTGTGTTTTTCACCCCACATTCTCAATTCTGTGATTCCGTGATTTTCAGTTATGTCCCTTTCTGTTGTGTGATCCAGTTCTGAGGGATTGGTGGTACTGTGAAAAGGTGCATGTGGGTTCGCGAACCCGGATGAGATGAAGAGCTTGAATATGTCTCTTATGGGCCGATGGTTCTGGGTTAAAATTTTACCAACTATGTTTATATTATTGGGGGATTTACGCATTCTAACACACACTTTAATTGATCAACTTCTCATATTTTACTGTTTCTTTCCGCCATCTGCTTTATAAAACAATAATTATTTCCATCATAATATCTGTTCTACTGAATAATGAATACTTATAAAATAAGGATTGATATTTCCACAAACAGATCCCAAAACTTCAAATGATATTTATTGTCAATTTCTATTCACCTACCAAATATCTATTTGTTCATTTTTGAATCCTTTGATCCTCGATCAATAGGAAAAATGAAAATATTACGAAAACAACATCCCCAAGAGAAAGTATAATAGCAGAATCTATCCAGTCGTGTCACATTTCATCCATCAGTGTTGAACCAAAAGTGACAGATAACTTGCAACCACATTCATACAGAAATTCTGTTCCGATCGGAAGATATTTGGTCACTCCATATTATGATGATGATTTAGAAGAATCTTCAGGTATACAGGCTGTTCCACTTGGATCTAAGGCAGAGAAACTGATTTTAATGAAAAACCCACTACAAGAACTGATCTCCTGTGTTACAGCAGGAACAATCAGCGCTGCAGTTCGCAGAAACAGTCGTCGTCAAACAGTCGGTGCCGTGACCGCCGCCTTGCAAAACACATTGCCAAAAGACAAGCAGAAGCATCTGTCGTTGGATGAAAATCAATTTTCTATCATCCCCAATTCTAGAGAATCATTAAAATCTTACGAAAAGCTGACCGTAGCTTCGGTCTTACGGAAAGAAGACATATCTTTTCAATACATCGATGTCACCGGTATCGACTCCATGACTCATTCTCATACGACTCAATCGCATTCGGCACTCTCAAATCAGCGACAGGAGAACAATAAAGCTGAGGTTGCTGACGCACCGAAAGACTTGAAAAATCCTAAAATTGTCGAAAAGAGAATTAACCGGATGAAGACATTCCCTGCACGACAATTCCCGTTTGTGCGTTTGCAAAGACGTAGATCTGAACCAGCTGCACACAACTTCCTCGGTGAGTTTGTCTTCAAACAATAACACATTTACTAATCATCATATTTGAAGCGGTTTCCTAGATAAGTTTAACATGTTACTCTAAATTTAACTGTGGTAAATAAAGTAAAATTGAAGGCAGAGTTTTTATATCGCAGTTCAATATTTGTTTCAATTGGAACACTTCGAAATCAATTGGTTTTGGTTTTCGTGTAATCCGATGAGGATTAATTTATTTAATTTATTTATGTATAATGTCGATATGGTCACACTAACATAACTGTACAGATGAGTCGATTCAGCCTAAGATAGTACTTAGATCTCAATACTCCATGTAGTACCTTCCAAATTGAAACTTCAAGTTTTCTAGGGCCCATATAATTTTATACTTTTTGAGCAGTCACGTAATAAAAAAGGTCATACAGTAGAAAGGGCAGTTCTGTTTACCTAACCTCAAATGTTTCCCACAAACCGTTCTTGCATACTTTTGCCATTTGATCCGATAGGACAGGGAGTTTGTCCACGATGCTATGATTAAAATAATTGTTCACGCTATGGGAATCTTTTGAGGTCTGACCGGAGATTGGAGACCTTCGTGATAATAATCAATAATGTACCCGGGCTCTTCCTCCACTTTTGAATTATTCCAATTTATATGCCGAACATCAGTCTTAACTTCGAGAAACTAGACAAAACAGATGGGCGGTGGTAATATCATCAATAATCACCCCGGAAGGCGAGTGTGCAAATACCACCACCACCGCCTGACTTTCCGTACTTGTGTGTTGCATGGCAGCCCTTTGATTGGCCGCTTCCCCCTTCTTGAAATTTTTATCATTGCATATTCAATAGAAAGGAAGTATAAATGAAAATAAAAAGAAATGAAAACCGGAATACAATTTCATTAACTCACATTTTTATCTAAATCCAAATATATGAAGACAATTGATTTCAATCATGCGATTTGCACTAAGTACTTGAATTAGCAACTGATCAATCTAGATTTTACTTCCCTGCCAGCTTCTCATGTTGACGCAATATCCATTTAGGTAATAAAAGGAGGCAGCATTTGACAGTTTACAACAGGAAATAAATGGTATATCTATAGGACAGTTCTACCGAACACAAACATCACAAATGCTTGTGTATTCTATTTTTTATCAATTATATCCGTTTATTCGTTCTACAATGGTTGTTTTCCTATAACTCTGCAATACCGAGGGAAAACATTTGCTAATCACTTCGTTATGGCCCAAAACCACGTCGTCAGCGGTTTACTTTCTGCACACCGATACACAAAATACCATAATTTCATTTGTTCTTCAGTTGTGAATGCTCGTATTTCTCTTCGTAATTCTTTTTGTTCATCCTGCACGTTCATTTCAGTCATCCCAAGCGCATACACCAATAATGAAGTGCCGCTTACTAAACCAAAAGTAGAAGATAGTGAGTCACTCTACGATTGTCAGCCTCACTCTGCCGAAATGGGCGTAAGTTAGAGCCCTGGTGTTTGCAGCTTTGTAAAATGATACAACTCTACTTGCAACATATTACTAATTACGCCTGGTTTTATTGACATTTCTAAAGCGAACCCATGGAGAATACGTTGAATATGCGAAGACAGTTTGTTGTTTTTCTGTTTTTCCGTGGGATGTCATCCTAGGTACTGGTGAATGCCATAATTATGTAACCGCTGTCTGTTTTGAGCAACTTTTTATATCTTCTAAACTGTCCATTAGCAGATTAAAGATGTATGTTTCATTGTGGAGAGTGCAGTATTCCCGGTGAAATTCGAATCTATTCATGTACGCTGGGTACACTGAAATCCTTCCACGATGGGTGATTCGAATATGAAACGATTGATGTGGTCTCGTAACTCAGTTGGTAAAATGTAGCATGCAAAAAGGTATAACTGGTGAGTTGAATCCCACCAAGGCTATTGAATATATCTGCTATTACTCACTCCTGAAAGTATTCCCTCGCTATTTTTTTGTATAATGGATGATTGCTCGGGCGTCCGATAAAAGCGATAACTGAATTCACTATGCGTGTCTTTTGGGTGCAGATGACGCACGTGCTCAGAAATCTAAGTAATAAATTCCATGTCACAGCTCTTCCGATTATTCAATTAAACGTTTTTTGAAGGTGGAACTTCGTTGATCGAAGATCACATGAGTGAATCAATATTATTTGTAGTCATTATAGATATATTCGTTCTCAAATTACTTCACATTTACAAGAAAGAACATGAAATAATACAATGCGTGGACATGAATGAATTTTACGAAAAATGTGTGACGGGATTCACGTTATATGGTAGTTAGCATGTACCTATGCTTCCATTTATTAAAAGAGTAACCAGACAGATATTGAACAACGGCAAAATCAGTTGAGCTTTTAAAGCTTGGATACAAATATCGTTCAGATTTCTATTCTTATCACACACTATGTATGTGCAAAGTATCTGTGCAATTTCCTGGACTTCCGTCAGCTCTAGTTTTCTATTGCTTACACAACTGCATAGTTAATGGTTGGAAAAACTGAACCTAACTTAAGTGCCAAACACAGATAGTTTTAAGAAGCTACAACTATCATCACGGATTGTTGATGTTGTGTTTGTCTCTATCAATTTTTTTATCTGATGACACTGTTTTTATATCCTGTCAGATCTCCGTTTTGTCTCCAAATTGTATACCCTCCGGAGTTGGTGATACTTATATTGCTCAAGCTTCAACAAGACATTCAAAGAGTCTTTCCGGGTCCATGCTTGTAACGGAACAGGATGAACATGCTCAGTACGATAACTGCTCCGTGCCATCTACTACCACGCGTGCACTCAGTCAATCTCTTGCTGTTTCCGGTGAAAATAATGCCAGTCAGACCTTGTGCCGACTGAGTTTGCCACCGATGTAAGTGAAAAACGCAACATCGATGAATAACTGTAGAATTATTCATAACATTACCACATATATATGCAACTCTGTATAATTGTATGATAGACGATAACCTATGTGGTAATGTTTGTTGTAGATAGAAAGATAGATAAGAAAAATTGTATGGTCCTCCAGTTTCGGTTATTTAATTGAAAAAAATGGTGTATATCCTTGGAGTTGTTCCAAATAGCCATTTAAACATGATTTCCAATGCTTTTAGGTTAAACACTGCAAACATTATATTGCATTGTATATAACTTTTGCAAACACTAAAGCTTATACTTCAGTTAAAAGCCATACACGCCAACCGTCACAGAGAACACATTTAACAGGAAGAGGCACTCACAGATATATGGGCATTTCACAGTGCACGATTTAGCCGAATTTCATTTGTTACTCTCTCTGTGTTTCCCAGTCAACGTCCAAGAAACGCGGCCTAAAATAGATAGACAGCGGCGTAAGACTTCAAATTCCTGTTTAGATAAGCCAGGAAAAATAACTGGGGAAAAAATGAAAGGAGATGGGGAAAGCGCTGTGCAGCAAGATACCCAATTTTCGATATCATTCGTTGGTCCATGAATCAATATTCGCAGATTATGTAGACTGAACAATATGTCGAAGACAAGAAATGATTAAGAGTGTAGAATAAAATTGTATGCGATATAGAATAGAACAGATCTAATGTGTACGCATGTCAGAAACCTATGCTTAGGTAAATGCGCTTCTAACAAATATCGTGTGTTGCATTTCGTATAAATTTAGTAAATACAAATTATTATAGATTTTTTTGTAGACAGAACTGTTTCCAGTGTTGAAGTTACCTAGGCTGGGTTTCTTCTGAACAATCAACGAATTGTCGTAGTTACTACAATGAATGTTTTGATGAAAAATTTGTAATTTATAGTTATAGATATATATATATATATATTATACATATTATATAACTATAATTTATAATTTATATTTTTGGATCCTCTATTATTACTGCTATTAACTTTTCTGTGGAACAGTTAGGCTCATTTCTTGCATTTCTTTTGTATGCGAGAAGATAATTTGCAGGAGTTACGCGACAGCAAAATAAAATCACCTGTAGGATGTAAGTTCCTCAGATTCACGCCAAAAGAATTCACTTTCTTTGTGGGATATGTGTTCTTCATCTGAGCTACAACTCAAAGTGTCTAGGCAGGATACAATGCGCTATGTTTACTGTAAACGACTAACACAATAAACTGAGTAATTGCTTATAGATCTACTCAACTTGATTTAAAAGTTTACAAACATTACTCACTGGAATTAATCCCCGATGTTTAAAAAAACACCATTCGATTATTGATTTCCATTGCAATTATTTAGGCAATTGTGGGGTAGAATGATGTAATGTAATGTAATGCAATGTTTCATAATTCCAGCCACTTCGTCAACACCGATTGCATGAATAATGAGAACGCGCCCGACTTAGGAGTTTTGGTAACCAAGACGGTCTCAGAAAATTATTGGAACACACCTGATCTAGATATTCCTAAACATAATTTAAAAAGAACGATTCACTCTTGGAGATCTGCTTTCAAGAAAATCTTTCGTCGAAGGTCAAGGCAAGTTTAACCTTCGTTTTAATCTACTCCATATTCTTCGTGCTAATCTTAGTCCGTTGTCTCTAGTGCATGCAATATATATACGTGTGTGTGTGTTGAATTCAGGTCGATGTCTTCAAGGGGGAATGGTGGATAATTGTGGGAAACCTGATTTTTATTAAACATCCAAACCGAGAAGTTGAATAGTGCTCGAAAACCATCATGGAATTATAGTGTATAACGCATAACGCAACCCGTAAATCATGTCAAACTCCCCTTTACGGTGTGTTAAATTGTGAAATATTCAGTTGCTTTCGCCAGTTATTCTTCACCCAAACAAATCGAAAGCGATGAACGTGTACACCAGCACTGACCCATTCAGCCTATGCGAGGCAAACAGTTCGCGAACAATAAAAAAAAGTTCCGGTTATTACCAGTCCTTAGCGGATCATGAAATCGAGACATTGTAAGTATTTATACTGGGAATTCTTTATAATCGACTATTCATCTCTAACCCATTCACTACTGCACCTTTACTGAGAGCATAAACATTATCGGTACATTGATTTTGCACTGTATATTTATCGGTCACTTTACATTTAAAGTTTTCATTCGCGGTTTCAGTTGAGCGGTGGGTGTCTTTACCTGCACTCATCCTTTGCGGTAACCACCCATTGTTACTCGGAAGCTTCAAGTATCTGTAAAGTCTGATAACAGCTTTTGCGGAGAAACAACATTACACACCGTGAGCCATTTACGTTCTTTCACCTGCGAAACTGACAGTACATAGGTCTTTCTCCCAACTGAAAGATGTAGACTGCGTCATTGTACAATACTTATTATTATTATTACTTATTATTATTATTATTACTTTACTTATTACTTTATTACTTTGATATATGGACTTTTCATGCTTACTGTACCCAGTGAGTTTTCGTATCTGACACCTATGGCTTACGAAGCAATAGATTGTTGTGAAATAAACCTCCATTGCGTACTGATGAGTTCAGGCGGCGGGCGTTCGACGCCGATCGTTGATTTTGATGAATATAATCACCGTTTATTTCCTCTAAAAGATTCGTTCTTAACTGCCTGCGCTCCTCTTCCACTAACCTTCCATTACTCTATTTTTACAAAGTGATTTGAACCGGGAGAAGGAAACGAAGGCCAACCCAAGATTTGACTGCACAAGAATTACTACCAAACTTTGTTTTGAATGGTGCTTTCTGCCTTCTTATTCGGGATTCAATATGAGGAGGGTACTTATTTGGAGACACCAAAATGTCTATAATAAAAATGGTGGCAAAAATAATTCGTTTGGTTTAAATTGAAGCGTAAACAGCAAAAAGCGACTGTAAAAAATCAACAACTGTAACATGGGGAAAGCTATAATGTCGTCTTGCCTTTCAAAAGTGGTTGTCCTTAATTTACTTCATTTATCCGGCTCTTTCAAGTCATTCTATGCGTTCTTATGTCGAGAGTTAACTTGGTCCAATTATACCTATTCGATGCGTTCGTTTCTCTCTGACTCTAAAAAAGGCCCTCATCGAAAGTTCATTCTAAGATCATTCCTACATATTATTTTTACACTTTGTTGTAAATTTATGCTGAGAACATTATGGGGTAAAAATTTATTTTGGTTTCTGTTTGTGGCTTTTATTTTCCTCTCACCGTCGAATTGAAAGCAAGAAAAACGATAAATACGCAACAAATGTCAAAAACTTCAAAGAGTTCGCAACTCGTGAGGAATATCCAAATCTTCAATGCGAGATAAGTGAAGCTACTACATACTCAGTGCCTTCACAGTATATCAAAAATGAGAGTCAATTATCCGAAACCGCCAAATCTGTCTTTGAACGAAAAGAAATGCGCACATTCTATGTACCATCTACAGTATTCGTAGAAACGGAAGCCCTCCCAAATAGAGTGAAAGATCTCACGGAAATGAGCCATCTGGTGTTTCTGGACGAGGCAGGCAACCCGTGTTTTGACATTTGATAATTGACTACTGCCAATAAACACACAAACATGTATTACTATACACTCACTTGCTTCCATTTATGTCTTTTTCGGGATCTGAAAAAGAGGATAGTAATCAAATACGAAAGGCATAACAAAGACGAAAAAATTCATTCACTTTCCTGTTCACTTGCTTCAATAACGGAATTCTGCCGATCGTTCACTGTACAGTAGGTGAAACAAATACACAGTTTTACTATACCACGTATGTATTCCCATGCTTGTGGAAACGTGCTCTTCAACGCAGTGATTGTGAAGAAAAACACCATTTCATCGAAATGTAAACGATAACCGCCATTCAGTTTGATTGAAAATACTTTCATTTTTTTATTCATTACGATGCAATTATATTTTTCTACACGTCGCTTTGCAGCCGCTGTTTGCCGTTTGGCAGTATTCAGAAGAGCAAAGTCTACCATGATTACATCATACGTAAGATTGATATAAAACAACAGCCTCTGTAGAGTACATAGTCAAACTCATTCAAATCAGGGCGAAGTATGAATGTATTTATTGTGTATTATTCCTTTAAAATTCTCCTGAATGCAAATCAAGTTTCATGTTCTGTGTATTTTCTGTAATCAATAATTGTGAATCATGTTGTAATGCTATGTTACAGTGCCCATTATCAGATGGAGACATTTCTTTTGGTTACTGTGTAATACCATTAGCTACACCAGTATTAGCTGTCTGTGTCCAAGTCGTCCGTGTATATGCGCAGCTGATGATTTCTGACACAGACAGATTAGTTACATGATACTTCAAAAGTTTACTAGTGCAATGAATGACACATTGACATTCCATAATGAATCTCTCTACAGCCATTGCATTTCCTAATGCCAAAATAAATTTATACAGTTTGAACATTGGATTCTAAATCATGTGAGGTAATGAAGTTAGTCAGATACTTGTCAAATTCCCTACTCATTTATGCATATATAAAACGCGGAGTAACATCGGGCTTACGTCTATTCGTATAAACCGATTGCTCACCTGTACCGTGTTTATTAGCATTATGACCAAAGTCATGAAAATGCCATATATATAACAACTTGATCATCCTGAAACATAATGTGTATATGACTCAATGCGGGCATTTTTTGACACAAAACGTCACTAAATAAACGTTTCCTGTGGTTTTTATATCCCAGAGCCCACACAGAAATATTCATGCTCTGACCGGAGTTTTGAATGAGGTTGTTTTCACCGACGTCACTTACTTAGAACATAAATTCCACCTTCATAAGGGTTTGAAATTCAGAGACATAATTACGGTTTATCAATAAAGTATCTGTCGAACCGAATTTTATGTCTACACTTTCTTCTAACACTCACTGACTTTGTTACGGACATCTATAGTCTCAACAGTGCTTTTGAAGCACAAATTATTGAACAGAAGTAAGCACCACTGTTTTCTGTAAGTGTTTTATTGGCATTTAGGTAAACTGGTGTCTCCGAAGTGATCTTCGAGACGGATTCTAAGTCTCGTTTCCTCAACTTTACCACTAATTGTTGATGTTTTATGTTCAGTTTAGAAACTTTAAAAGATTTCTGTTGGTAAAAGACGACTTACTTCAAAATACCCTATTTAAGATACCTCATCAGTCTAGGTGTTCCGTGCGCATAAATCAAAACCATTAGTCAAATTTGTGGGGAAAAAACTCACCATTTTGACTCAATGTTGCGCGATGTGAAAGNGAAAGGTTATCTTCCCAGCCAAATGTTCTAACATTTTGACGCTTCTCATTAAAAACCGCCATCATGTATGGTTGTTATTTACATAATTATTATAATTGTCTGTATTTCAACACGGTAACTTATATAATTGCCGCGGCACCTAAAAGACAAAGATGACCATCACCTCATTAAATGCAATCCATTCTTCTTAACCTGAGATAAATAATAGAATTCTCCGTTATCAAATTCTGTTAAACGCGATTAGCTTCTAAGGGCAAAGGTTCTACATGCATCCGAATGTTACATTCAACCTTGAATCGAATGATAAAGTGGAAGCTTTTTGCCAAAACCAAGCTACAAAGTAAAAGGATGCCAGTAACGTTAATCTGGACAAGTGCCTTCTAGAAATCTTAAACCCCCTGATTTCCGTTACATCCTCCTGCCGAATATGAAACATTGTATTGTCCCACACGTGGCACGTGTTACTCATTGCCTCACGAATAGAACTCCAGACACGTGATCGAAAATAATTAAGGAGTTCCCCTGAGATTGGGTATTTCACTATTCTTGTTTTCGGCCAAACCTGCATCATTTGCATTTCGGCATTTTTATTTGAATTTACAAGTAAAACAATTATTATCCACAATATTTTTAATATCTCATCATAATGCTTCAATTATCAAAATGCTTCCAATTCGAAAGTGTTGTTATAAACAATTAATGAACTGCTTCGGGAAACTGTCCGGACAAAACAACTCGTTGTTTGTTCGTCGAATGCTAGCAAACATGGAGCTAAGAATTTTAGACCGAATACAGACGATTCAATGAGAAAAAATGTTTACATAAATGCTTTTGGGGAAGATCGAGTTAGAACAGTAAGAAATGATCGCATAATTATGAACCTAATTATTTCACATTGTGAAACGAGCGATTAATGGTCGATACTCAGCGAGAATGAAAGATCTAAGAAACGTTTATTCTGATAGTGAAACAGTTGGATTCTAAGAACTGCTCGTTTAAAAACGTTATTGTAATCTAATCGGCATGTGTAGAGAAAACTCAGACGATTACTCCAATTTAGGTAAATAAGAATAATGGTTTGACGCTGCCATTGCAATTATTAGGGTTGAATATAATGTGGAATGATTGTAGCTCGGGATGCGGATGTTGGTGTTGGCGTTTTCTCCGAGCTCGAAGTGTTGTTTCCAGACGTCCCCTATCCGGGCTAGTCAAAATTCTGAGTGCATATGTAGTGAGTTCAGATTGATACCTTCGATGGTTAACTTCATTCGTCAACCTACACGCATATTACCTCGAGATGGGACGTGATTGATCATTGTGCAAGAATAAACGCTTCACTTGATCCTTGAGGTTTACCTTCCACTGAGATTCGCCATTGCACGTTGAAGCTTGTCAACAAATGTTTATAATTGACAGTTTGTTTCCTAGGTGATATACTGGGAGGAAACATGACGCATGCCATTTGACGCATAAAATACCGCACATTTTGAAGACCAAAAATGTGAACTTTTCCGCTAGATGAGGATATCCAGCATTCTCTGGCGATAAAATAATTCGCTTTTGCTTGTTTGAAGGCAGCTGTAATTATAATACACACCGAAATAATTTCGAACTATTCGGAATATACATCGACGATCATTTGATAATATATTCAACGATGACGGTAAAATCAACGCAACTGCGTGACTATGAGGATGCAGCACGTTGCCACAATTGAGGGTCAGCCTTAGAATGTAGTTTAATTGTCATGAAACAATTGTGGCGAGTTCAAGTGGCTAGTATGCTCAGCTGACTGTAACGGATGTATTTCAACAAGTGATTATCAAAAATACTTCTTCGATAGATAAGAAAATAAATACTTTTGAATTGTTTATGAGGTCTGCTGTTATACTCATTAGGTCAAGTGGTTCTACAATGAAGCGTGACATCCATGAAACGTTGAATTCTGCATTCGTTTATATCTCTTCAATGAATATTCGACTTTCTATTCCCGTTGTTTATTTAAAGGATCCCTTTGCTATTTTCACTGAAAACATACGTTTTTAATTTGAAGGAACAGCTCACACGTAAACTGACAGTGTAGTAATATGCAGAATTCGAGTCCAAAGCTAGCGAACGTTTTTCTAGGACTGGTCGAAAGACGNGATTGCCGTATAATAATTTTGAGGTTGTTTTGTACAAACTATGTCAATGATATTTTGGTTTTTACCGATTCTGATCATTTTAATACTATTTTGCGTCGTTTCATACCATTCGTCACAAATACTGTTTTGCTTGAGAAGGAAATGGATGGGTGTTTAATATTTTAGATATAAAAACAAGGTGAGGATCAGATGGGAACCTACAACAATCTTTCTACCGAAATACCACAGGGCTGGGACCATACTTGCAATTTACTAGTTTTGCTCTTGTGGAATACGAAACAGATTTGTTGAAAAAGCTGTTCAACCTTGCCAGGAATATCTGCTCCCCCGACATGCTTCAAGCAGAATAAGATTTTCTACAAAGTACGCTAATGGATAATGAATATCCAGATAAATGTATTGATGTACGTACGAGACGAAGGCCATCAGTGTACCCGGTAAGTGAAGTACTAAAGAAATGTCTTCCTCATTCTGGCCTTCAAGAATGATCATCTAAAGAACGACAGAAGCTCAAAACCGCATTGTGCCGAACATTATCTGCCGCCCAGAATCGGCTGATGCCCTAAAGCCATGGAAAAACGGACAATAAATCCAGGTACACAATTCTGCTTCGGAAGTTTTCCATCGGTTCACTTGAAGTTGCGGTGACATTGACCGAACGAATCAACCCCTGTCACAACCGATGTCTAAACATACTTCCGAGTAGTTATCATAGTCAATGACACACCAAAATCTCAGAGGCCCATTAGATAAGAGAAATCCAGAGTCCTCAAACGCAAAAAACCACATGACAACTGGATACATTGTTAACTAACTTTTGTCGTTCAAACCTTTGGTACCTAATCTAATGCCAAGGCCTTTAACTCTCAATGAGCCGATGGTAATCGAGTTACGCAAACCAATTTTGTTTGCACCAATGTTTCTGACGCAATCAATCCCAATGCCGTGACACTGATTTTGATTCCCGCTTTCGTGACTGTTGTTTGTTTAATCACTGCAGTGTTCAAAATTTTCTTGGATAAAAACCGCATTGTGGCGACTGAAGAGTTAACATAAATGTCAACCTCCCGCACTGTTTGTCTTCTGTCTGTTCTAACGACTGGATAAAGGGGATCCAAATTATCGGTAACTCATGGTCATAAAGAGTTAGAAGTAAACCATATGTGAGATCTGTTTTCAATGCAACGAATTGGTCCTGATATGCAGTGGACCAGGGCAATTCGATGTTTTGTTTCAGTAAGTGACTTACTGGAGCTTGCAACTGAGGCAGCTACTGCACAAAATAATGTTAGTACCTCACGAGTATATGTATTGCTGGATGCCGGTATTTAGTTGTTTGCTTCAGTTTCCATCGCATTGGGTCTTACACTAATCGTGCTAATCATTGATCTCCGGTAATTGAAGCCAGATATTGGAAATTAATACTTCTTGAGTTGAAGTCCGAAGAGTGGAGGAACAGATAGCGTACCCTCGGGCGATTCTTTAGTTCGCGGATAATTTAACACCATTTCGTGGCAGTACTCGAGGATGCAATGGGCGTACCTTTTGGCAAGTGCGCTTTGCACTAAACACCACATATACCTGCGAACAGCGCTGTTAAGCGACCTGTATGACCCACAGTTGTATCCATTCATCGAGTTCAATCTAAGGAAAAAGATTCTGCGGAAGAGATGGAAGAATGATTGTTATCCTGTGGCTTATGGATATCAACACTGCTTCCTGACAGTTTACACTTGGTTGTGCAAATACTAGTATGTTTTCTTGAAGAAGCGTCACAATGTGAAGGATAATTTAGCTGCAAAATAGCCCATGACTTTAAAAATCATGGGCTTGCTATAACCTACTATTTCATATTCAAAACGTCACTTATCTACCACAAACCGCTCTACACCATCCTAACACTCACTAATTCAACATCCTTCCCCAAAGTACACATTCGCTATCTCCGGAATCTACAGACGATTGTATTGACAACCCTGTTAAAAGGAAATCCTGCCATACAACCCTCTAAGAATCCTCTACTAAATGAAGCTCTTCGGTATTCTTAATTTCCCTTGAAATTAGCTCGCCAGAAACATGCGTATTTAGTGTGCATGTTTGATACATTTCAGTAGATAGGAAAACGAGGGAAGGCTGTTGGCTCCATGCTCTAACTGTTGCCTATTGCTCGCGAGTACAAACCCCAAATGCCGATACACCACTCGGCGTCCACCCTCCTCAAGCTAGAGACGCCGCGGATTGGCCACATAGTTATAAGGTAATCACAGTCGTGGTTGCATACAAGACTGCTGATTGTACTAGAGCCACTACCCTCGAGCGGGACTAAGTTTTAATCTGCACCTAGTTGATCAAGTGATTTGATGCGTTCCAAACGCACTACAGGGTGACGGTTTGCCTACGATAAGCTATCACTGTCACCTTGCCCAACCATCTTTCGAAACGTGCTGACTCAAAAGCATGATCACACTGTGAGACAAGGGGGAATGTCTAACAGTTTCTGGACCGTGAACCAAAAGCCAATAGTATTTATCAATCTGAAACCAGGAAGAATTGAGTGTTGTCCCAATCCTGAGGAAGGGCCTGAGCAGTGGCTGCGTCAACCACGCAAACATAAGCTTAATCCCAGTTGGATCAAAGCACTGGAAAACAGTAAGCTCAACCTGGCCCTCTTCCAAGCCCTATCGAATACAGTCAATCCCCTGCTATGTCGCACCCCTCCGGAATTCGAAAAAGTGGGTAAATTCTAGGAACTGCGGCATAGAAAGTTAGTCAGCAGTAGACGCTACTATATAGTATAAAAAATCGGTTGTGAGTTCTGTGACAAAATAAACCAGATCCGTGAAAAGTACGTTAATTCCGTTACTTGTTCCCAATACCCTTAATTATGTACTGTTTATTTATAATGGGATTCAGGTATGCCATCTTGCACATCCTTTAAGTATCGAAGAAATTGAAATCTTTACAATGCCCTCCTTTTAACACCCCAATTATTTCATAATAATTCCAGATGTGTCCATTCCTTTGCAGTGTTAGGCTAATCCCAGAAATGCGTAGATGGTGTCCACGGACTATTTTAAATATTATAATCACAACATTGATATTAACCCATTCGATTAAAACAAGAATGAACCAAGTCGTACACGGGATAAAAAATGGCACTCGAAGGAAATCATTAATTAAAACAAGTGAAACTTCTGTTACGGGGTATACTCTGTAAATGGATTTATTTCTCATATTTCAAACTGAATGTTCGCTGTGCAATCTTTTCATGATATTCTGGTGAAAAATTATGACTGCAGGGAAAGCTTTTTCTATCTATACCTTATAAATACCGTGAAGTTTAAAGTTCTTCAATGACCACAAAGCAGTAACGTGGATTTGGGTTTCTTGGATTCAGAAACTATTTGTTCCTTTAAAACAATGTTCTTTATGGGAGCTGCTTGTAATACAAGGTTGCTTCATCTGCACTGAAACTATCACAGTCAGCATATCCATGGAACAGCTGCGGTATTCCCGCTCCAAACTCGTCCAGTGCAGCACGTGGTACCGCCAAACTTCCCCTTGACTTACACATGAGTAGTTACTTCTCTATTACCTTCTAGGATTGAACAACACACCTGTCAGATCAAGAGCAAAACCAAATTTTGAAAGCCTTGAAGCTAAGATAATGCATTCTGTGTGCCAGCTAAATTGCCTTTTTACAAACGATGCCCTCTCATGGGGAACTCGCCAGACTTTTACCTAATCAGTAAACCAAACCAAGGTTGCCCATTTCACTATCTTAAACTTTTCGTTGTTTTTCAAGTGGCGTCTTTCCTGCGATGCTCTAGCGTTAACAAATTATTCGATCATGGTTGGATGAGATGTTACACCATAAACAGTTTTTCTTCAAATTCCAAGTTATTCGGTTATGGAGCTCTGAGTTCACCTGGCCGAATCAGCATTGCCAGCGCCAGACAGACAGTTGCACATTTTTAAGTCAAGTGACACTGTCTTCGAATGTTGGTATCGATTGGTCTTCCGCGCAAAGATTATCAAATCAGTGAACAGTGTTATGTTCACGTCAAACTAGGTGAAATGTCATTGGCTGAATGCGACATTGCGGGTTGGGTGGTCAGTGGCCACCCCGAACTTCGGCCAACGACCAAGTAGTGAGTAGGTATCAGGAACTGCGATATATTGAGGGGACGACATCGCATGGTCAAAAAATAATTTATTACGCATACATTTGGTTTGGGATTTTGAAAAAGTGGGAAGATATTGGAAAATGCAACTTCTCATGGTTGAGACGTAGCGGGAGATTGGCTGTATCACGAAATAAAGCTGTTGCATCCCGGTCTAGCAAGTAAATTACCACATGGTGAATCAGGTAGTTTGTTAATTTTCAACACGTGACAATGTAGCCCGTCTGCAGGCCGGTGAGCGGGCAATGGTTTCAACACGCAAGCAGGTAGTAAGATAGACCAATAACAGACATAAGTCATATGGATTCAGAATGTGGCCGTCACACATTCACGCAGCGTGCAGTTTAGTACTGACATTTATTTGGCGGATTAATCTTGTAACACATGACGTTCATGCGTAGATGCGTTAGCAGGCAGCATCGGTCAATCAACCAGTAAGGCATGTGGGGTAAACGTTGCTCAATTCTGAGTGTTTTTATGTGGTGGAGGGTATATCCCGACATCACAAATGAATTTATCCCTAACAGTCACACATATTACTGGGGAAACCACCCAAGTTTAGTTATGCGATTTTCTTTGGGTTTGAACATAAAACGTCCATGGAGTGAAATAATTTGTCCACCAAAACTAAGAAACCATTGCTGAATAATATTTCGATGAGAATTTAAGGGAAGAAATTTAAGAGTTACGATCAAAACCAATAACGCGATTGACTGAAAGTTTCATTCTATTAGTCCTATGGGGATTCAGGAAATCTTGGGATGCCTCACAAGAACACAGTGGATAAGTCATTTTGCTTATCACTTTCCGTGAAAGTGCACAACAATTTCCTCTCAGGTAATCATTAGCTCAAAATGCCAGCAAGGATTGAAGGTTTTCTTTCACATGCTGAGAAAGTTCAAGTCTCATCATAGAAACAGAAATACTGCTCACTTCTGCTGAAATCCTTCAACAACGGAACATCTAAGCAGTGTCCTGTTACATAAGATCCCATTTACAGAAGAATCGCCACTTCCTTATATTCTTGATGTGCCTGGAAAAAGCGTTAGTGCGATATGACTTTAATTTTTTTTACAGTGCATCTGAACTTTGCTGCATAATTTATAAGCATCCGGGTTAAAAAAACAGACACCATTGAACTTCCAGATGCAGTGGATAAAGTGGATCAAGACTATCATAAATATCCCGGTTCATTTTACGAAAAAAATACCTCTGATCACTGTGACTTCAGCGCTTAAAATTCACGGTATTAACAGAGTGTCGTTAACAATATGTTTCGCATAATATTACTATCAAGTTCTCCATTATATTAAGTCAATGATCCGCGTGGATTTGTGAGGACGTTCTAATCAATATAAATAACATCGCTATGACAACGCCTGCATATTGTTGAAGGTCAACTTATAGGCGGACGAAGTTGCAATTTACAAAAACAGCTTTGCTTTATGCGCATAGGCGGCAAATTGTTAACTGCTTCTGAATATCAGCTCATACCTGAGAAAGCATGTTGGTAGACGATACCTCTATCCTACAAAGCGAAATGCTCACAAATACTGTCATCGGTTCATTCAGCCACTGTGTCACATTGCCACCAACAACAACTCCTAGTTCAATTCCCTCCACTTCGCATGACTTTGAGAGTAGGAATACACTTCTTGATATGATACGATGTGCAACTATTGAGTCGTTCTGGATTGCACACTTTATGACGGATACCACTTCTGAAGTGTTGAAAGAAAAGGGAACAGAAAACAATGCATTGCATTTGATCATTCTGAATATGTATAAACTGCGCAAAAACAGCGAAAATGCAGAGGAACATGATCAGTGTCCCTGTTGGGGGCTAAACCCGGACCAGCTTCGCTTAACTCCTTGGGAAGGAGTAGCCGTCAGCTTGATCTATAAGCTGGTGCTAAAGAATAAGTGTTCAATCAATGCAAAAAATGCGGCGGGGAACGCACCACTTCATTTAGCTTGTATGCGACCTGATGCGAGTATCTTAGTACGCCACCTGATTCGTCTTGGTGAGTTCGTAAGTATAACACAAGAATGACATTTGTCTTATTCAAATATTTTTATGAATTAGATCTTTCCTACAGGTGAAATCAAAAGGGCATTTTTTTCGTTAAAACCGAAACAATACCCTGAACTTGGAAATTTTTCACTTTGTTGATTGATGAAAAAGTGAAGTGTTGAAATCTCATAGCCCTCGTTCTTTTTAATAGCACGTAGCTTTTGTGGTTTCAGTTGTAACCTAAGACAGTACATGTACCAAATGTAATTATTCTGGATGTTCATTTGATGAATACATTGTTTCCGCTGATAACTTTCATTGCAGGTTTTTATTCCTAGTTTCGCAAACAAAATGATTTTGCGCCTCATAAAGATTTGCAATATATGTTTCGTTCAACGGTCGTTCGATACTTGATTTCACAACTTGACTTAGTTATTCGTAGTTAAAATTTTAAAAATGTATATCCATATCGTAAGGTGCATATGGATAAACTCATGGTATAGCTTAGGAAGTTTATATTGCAGATTTTCAACCTAAACGCCAAAAATGTAGTCAGTAGATTGACACAAATCGTTACTCACCAGACAAGCGAATAATCTAGGGAGATATATATTTAGCCGGACTATCAAGGTAGTGTATAAACTGTCCCATCTGTGAGTTTATTTAAAACAATCGTGATAGTTTGAATGAGGTCTTCTGATTTGCCTCTGATCTTGTGTGATCCATCAAGCCTTGGGATACAGTACATGCATGCTCTTAATATGGCCGTAGTACGAGGATTATTATGGATGCAACTCTTCTTAGAGAAGAATAAATAAATGTAAAAGAACAATGATACAATAAAATTTATAACAAGAATATATTCCCTGATTTAAGCCAAGGTCGGTACTGCTAACTTGCTCAGGCCAAAGCAGGTGAACTTTATTGGGTAATTCACACCCGGAGCCTTTGACTGGCTAAAGTTTGACCCGCAGGGCAGAGGGGCGGTATGTGAAAACCGCAATCCATTGAGAACTGAGGTCCAAATCATTGAATAGTACACTTGCACTGCCTAATGTTATTGTTAATTAGCAGTGACGCTCATTTGATTGTGAAATGTATATAGAAACAAAACATTGGAAAGAAAATTCTATAAACCTTAGTGTTTGTCACCTTGTATGGAATCAACCGATAAACCGCTCACATAACGAATTACAGCCTAGTAAGGTAATGTACAGCATGAATTCAAATATAAACACATATCATACACATGCATACCCATCTTAGTATGAAAATATCAGTATTCTCTGAGTGAATCGAACGAACCGTGTACGCCGCCTATGCTTTTATACAGCTGTGGAATAATTTTGTTTCGGAGAAATATGGCAAAGCGATTTTGACCTAAGGGGCCGTCGTTTTCCTACCGTATGCGAAGTGAAATTGCATAATACTGCAATCTTGTGTAATGCATAGCTCAAGCCCTGTACCACTTGTTATCCCTAATTTGATCACTCGCTCTCCTTCTGCTAATTATCTGATGACGTTCAATGAACGAGAGTGCATCAACTGTTCGTAGGGTGGAAATTTACAGGCATCATATTCGGTAATGCTCGGAATCTCATCATGCTTGTTTCAACTCTAAAATGACTCTTGGAATTGCCAACGTCACAGAAGTCAACCGCTGTTACAAGGATAGCACAGCAATCGCAAAATACGTATATCTCCTCCGTCTACGCATTCCAAGAATCCTGTAAACCTTCAGTGTTCAACCTGTTTGAATAACGTTCACACATGGTTTTTGAAGTGCAACTTTTGACATCTACCACCATTGGAGTACTTATGAGCAATCGTTGTGATGTGACAGAAAATTGCTTTCTACTAGTGTCATGGTATGCATGCAAATGATAAATGCAGGGGTACATCAGTAAAATTAATGGGGATCGGAAAATTTGCTCGCATTGGTGGATTGACAGCTATTCCGACAAAGCAACTGGGTGGAGGGTCACTTTATACTGTTTCAGCATGCAGCAACGGATGCATAGTTTATTAGAAGGCGATTTACGCTACAACTCAAATTCAAATAGTGTTTCCAGGTATTAGTTATATGACTTAGAATGCCTGTTGACAAACTTCTACTTGCGTAAAACCGGCTAAAATGTTCTCAAGATAACTATCGCCTGATGAAGCCATCTAGCGCTAATGGAACTGAAGATTAACGAAGAGCTTATGCATTTAGAGAATCGAAAAATCTCATGTGTGTTTCAAATATCATTGACAAACCCGCTTTTATTATTATTCTCCTTAAAATGTTTTTTCCTAATTGAAACACTCACTATGTTACAAACACAAATGGTGAAAAGCAGAAGACAACACACTTTTATTTTAGGAGCTGATCCTCAAATAGCCAATCGAAATAATGCTCGAGTCCAATATAACTTTACACGTCATCATGGTGTACTTGTGAAAGGATATCCAGGGATACAATGTGGATTGTGGAATGCAGGTAAGCACTAACTGTTTATAATTTTATTTAGGAGATATCAGAAGCAGGTCTGCAATTTATTACATATTCATTATCCATGTATTTTTTATGCCAGGTAATGGAAACGGTTTATAATTCAGTGAAGTAAATGTGTCTTTATCAGAACACAGGTCTTAGGCGAACATATCGTTTCGGCGAGTTCGTTCTCAAGCCAGTACAATCAAATTTATTTAAGAAAATCGCTCATCTACAAATTGAAGTGCACCTGTGGTGCCACCTTTTTTAGGTGGTACGAGGCAGCTATATAAGCGCATCAAGCAACATCACCCAATTTGGCTTAGACATGAAGGAATCGAAGTTATTTCCAGTTCGATTGTTGCACACTTGGTCGAAACCGGATATAGGATGGATGCTTAATCGACTTACATCATTATTTATCGCGTCTCAAAACACAAATCCAATGGTGTTTGAATTAAAACGCTAGCAACGGCCGAGGCAGTCATCATCCACTTGTTGAGGCCAGAATTGCGTGCTCAAAAAGCAATTGTTCAGGTACTTAAACTTCCCTGGTCCAATGCGGAAAACATCACGCGTGAGCGTTGCGATGACCAGAATTGATTATCAGCGATTACGTAACCTGTTCTTATCTGGAAAAGAGGGACAAACGTGTCCTTACCCCACGACTCTGCTATAATTATTTGACCTCGACTGTTTGACCTCAATAAAACACCTTCCCGCTATTTTAAATCAAAATCTCCTTTCCACTTAGCCACATTTAATGTCCGCACACTCTATCAGATCAGTCAACAAGCTGCCTTAGCTACAACCCTTGAAACCCAATTTTATATGTATGTTGTATCTCCGGAACACGGATACAGGACCCTACTTCAATCATCTCCCTGCCTTCTCCAGATCGAACTTCAGCATCATGTAAATGTTCCGGTTAAACAGACAGTATTATAGAAAGCAGTTGAAAAATTGCGAGAAGACATTTATTTACAGCATTTTTCGCCGCCCACAGTTACAGATTACCGAGGGTGATGGAAGGTGAAACTAATAGCAAATTATGCAAACCACGTTTTAATTGTTAGGGGAAAGTGGGTCGTAAATTAAAATCTCTTGAATTTTCCTTATATAATGAATGGATGAAAACCAAGTTAAGGCACACAGAATTGCAATTTTTCCATTGACCTAGTATGCGAAATGGAATAACCTAACAAATAAAATCAGTAACTAACACCTCTCCCTTATTATTTAAAACAGGAACATGATGTTAGTCAGTTTACTTTAATAATATNGGTGTGACGAAAATATACATAACCAGATGAGAAAATAACATTAAGATGGCACAAAGTGAAGCTCATTTTACGGCGAATCGTGTCATCAGAATTCAAGGAAATGTCTAGAATAATCTGATAAATAGTCAAGAAAGATTTGCAGCAAACTGATTCAAGAAGTATCTAACGCATCCTACGAACTGGTGAAGAAGGTACAACCTTCATACTATTNCATACTATTTAGAAATAAAAACGTCATCACATCAAATTGAGTGCTTAAATTACAAAACATAAGATGCGTTCTTGGTTTATGTTTCTTCTTAGTCGAGCAACAACATTTTTCTCGTGGCGACTCTCTTGTTTAGATTTACTTAAACTGGTTAACCCAAAAGGAATGTTTTTAATACGGTAATGTGATCCGATAGCTAAACCAAATTGTTTTTACATTTATTCAGCGGACAAAAACGGGTTAAGAAACCAGGACATCTCTCAGCTCTTTGTACCATTGTTTATCTCCTCAGGTCAAGTTTAGTCTGTACTCATTTGGTAATTAGCTAAGTAAGGTTAACCAATTGCTTCATTCAACCCCATATCGATTATGCACTGAATCAGGAAAAATGTAATCAGGGAAATCCCACTCCCTACCCCTAAAAGCAATGCAATGCAAGCCCCCTATAATTATGCTTCAGCAATATGCTTTTGGGATGGGACTGTGATGCTATCAGATAAATTAGTTCTGAATGTGTGGGAAATCTAGCCATTCTCATAGTCTGCCTAATGTGTTTTCAGTGGAAAAAAGAGAGAGCAAGGAAGAATTCAAATGTTACCAAATAAAACGTTGGAAAAGTCAGATGAAAACATAAGTAAAAGGTTTCACAGCATTTACGGTGCTCAATAGCATTATCCTCTTCAAGCTACATGCAAAATCCTTGATGAATCTGTAGGTAATCTTTCGATCGTTTTGAGACAGTCTGAGAGAGATAATGGGACATTCACCCTGTCACTTTGGTGAGCTGCATTCCCAAACAACAAAATTGGTTTAATGATTAGAGTCTGATTCGTCAGGCATATATATATAGACAAATGTGTCAATAACTATGCAAGTACATACAGAAACACGTAGTGAATGATTTGAAAAAACCGAACTACTGTTTAACTATGATCAATAAACGAGACCGTCGTATGTTTGCTTTCTTCTGATAGAAACCGGGCTACAAATATCATCCACGGCAAAGAACTTCGGAGATATTTTATCTATGAGGTTATGTTCAAACTTTGTTTTCAGAAGTTGAAACTTTATATCTAACCCGCATCGGGCAAGCAGAAATATTTCACGAACCATGGTTCTTGCTCTCGTATTTTTCGAAAAAAACGCTGATTATATGTTTTTGCAAAATTGTCCTGCATTCACAGTGAAACGGGAAGATATAAATGGAGTGAAGCGATATCTGGGAATGGGGTGTCGAACAATCTGCGCGCAACCGACCGGGGAAAGTTTATACGAAGCGGCCATGTCAACGGGGGAGTACGATCTGGTGCTCGAGATAGATCGAATGCGCTCAACTAACGAGTTGATCGTGGCCAGTCTGGCTCTTGATCTGGACTACATGCAAAAGTTACTATCTGCTAGATCAAGTGAGTCGTTACAAAAGAAGTAAACTCAGGTTCTCAAAGATGATAACGTGCTGCGGACAATATGTTCACTTAACTCATACCATAGTGAGAGTTTATGACAATCGGAATAAAACGTATACTCGAATTGAACTCGGATACGGACTTTAAGCCCACGCAATAGTGTGACGTCAAATGCAATCAAGAAGTACTACGCCTACATTGAATTTTATTGGGAAGGGTGTGCAATCAAATGTGATTACTCTGTCACCGCTGGCGTTGTCCGCAATTTGGAATATGGGCGCTCTAGTATTCGGTTAATCAATTTGAATATAACTATGCTCCCCTAATTCATTGAAATTGGACTATTTTATAGATCTATGCATCACACTATTGCAACAAAATAGCAACAATGACCCTAAACTGAATTCATCCGAATACGTATTGTTCTGCTAGAATGAATGAAATGTAACTTATCTGTCCCTCGAAAACACCTCTTCTCTCCACATCATTAATTTATCTGTCAGTTGACCTAATTCCACATCCCATGCGAACTGTCAAGGGGCTGTGTGCAACCAGTGTTAAAGCTCACAGAATATCATGTGAAGATGTTTTTCAAATAACCACGGAATACTACCATGAGTGCCACGTTTTGAATTAGCTTTGCGCATGGTGCTGATGCTGCTGTATCTAAAACACTGCGCTGTCATAGAATCTCTGTGAAAATTCAGAACGTCTTTAAAGGCTATTGAAACCGTAAATACTTGCGTTTGGCAAATAATTCACCAATAATTTTCGTAGCTAGATTGAAGAACCGGTGAGCAATAGTATATTCCGGACAAGTATATCATGCTCGGAATGGCAAAGTTAGAAAGTGCAATAACCTTTGAGTTGATCATGGTGTCCAAATCAAAGTGCATTGAATACTATTGTTTCCAATTGAATTTTATATCTATCAAGAGGAAGTGATTCCAAAAGAAATGCAGCTTCTCAGTGAACGTAGACTAAAATCATTTCACAAACCAGAGCCCTATTGTTGTTATCTTTTTATCGGTTCTTTGCTCTCAATAAGCAACTTGCAAAATATAAAACTGAATATTATACTTTTTCAATATAATTTCTACATACAGATGGTTGATTGAGTCACACGGGCCGTTTTCTGATGTCGTGACCATTTCTCAGCGTTTGAATTTTTCGACGTCAGATCATTGCTGCATTGCCCTTGCTTCATTGCAGAAACTTAAACCGTATAGGTCACCATGCGCTCCAGCTACATTACCTCAGCCACTCAAATTTTCCACATTTTGTCTATGCGGATTGGAGTAACTGACTGACTGCTTACTACTCGCTTTCCTAAAATAATTTTACAGAAAGTTGTTTTAATAAAGGCGATATTTTAAATTTGTTTAGTTTGATCATTATTTCTTTATTTAAAAAAAATGGCTGGTATTTTAGGTGTACTCCTGAAAAGAACTAAACCGAAAACAGTAGATAAGTTGAAATTGCTTCAATTGGATTTTTGGCATATAGCCAACTACAAAAGCAGAAAATTTAGAAGGCAAGTACCGTGAAGTGATTAATTCGATAACTTTACATGACCTATGCAAATACAGAAGAAAGAAACTGAAAAGAAAATCATTCTTCAGCAAGAAATTGTATGGATTTATAATGGGCGCTTTTAGCTCTAAGTCTGCCGTTCTAATAGGGTCTTTCTTGGCTGACAAGCAGGCTGATTTCAACAGATAAACAGGAGTGATCGAAGTATGAAGAGACTGAGAGCATATATTTAGTTAGGCCACAATGAAATACGTGGTTAGTGTCAAGGGTTATTAAAATGAACAGGATCGTGGTGAATATATAAGAAAAAACATGCGTGATAAAGCGAACAAACACTAGCAAATAAGAGTGGATGAGCTCGTTACAGGGGCATATGACGCAATCAATTATATGGCCAAAGTAACAACAATGCTTCAGCAGATTTAGGTCACTTGCACAACTACGGTTTCCTTATTGTAATGACTATAGCTTCCGCAATTGTTAGGGTCTTCCTACAGGATTCGTTGGTATGGGTCCAGAGGGTTGTAATGAAACGTGTAACCAGTATCTAAAATAAATACACTGTCAAATAAGTGTTGTGGAATCGAGCATTTCATGGTTCACCTTTGCAGAGCGGCTAGAAAATAGTCAATTGTTTCATTGGAACCACATCTCGGTTCGTGTCCTATATAAAAAAAACACAACTGCAGGTACACTTATGTCGAAAATGAGTGGCACTGATGAGGTTCATTTATTCTTCTATGATACCCTGCAATACTCTGCAAAATAGTAATTGAAAATGGTTTGAGGTAGATAATTATTCAGAACGGAGGATTCATAAAATGCGTTGCTTTCAGCGACCTATGGTTGAACATCATTCGATTTCGATTCCTCGTACGGTCGAGTTAATATTTCATGTTTATCGCTTATATAGGTCAGATCAGCACCGGAATGATGAAGACTGATAAGTAGGATAATAATAGGATAATAAGCTCGTTAAATTCAGGCCGTTTTTGAGTGGCACAAATACAAGAAAATGTTCACTTTTCTACCCATTTGTGTTTACTGAATTCACTTCTATCGACATGAAGATTGTGAAACTAACTGGTGGTCAAGGCGACGGTAAATTGGAAGTGGTCAAGGTTAGTCTCACGTATAGAACACGGTAAGGGCTGATTTACTTTATTTCCACATGAACTGTGCTTCTACAGAAATGGGTAATCAATAAATAAACGATAAATTCCAACAGACTTAAGACTAGGTCACTTGACCCCAGCGTACGGTGTGACGTGGGTACAGAAATTATGCAGCACGCATAGAGATTTGCGGGAACGCTCTGACATGATAATAATGGACGCTCGTTATCACCGACACTCGATCGCACTTCTCGTTGTCGACCATGAGCACTAAGGGGGAACAAATATCGCGCGCGAATGTATATTGTAGCGCGGAGAGAATGGCAAAAATCTGTATATGAGATGGGGGCAAACAAGGTTCCTATGAGTTCTGAGTTCCCATGAGTTTCCTGAAGGTCTTCTGGTTGATTATTCTTAATGTTCACCGTGTTCAACCATTGTGTACCTGAAAGTGATAGGAAACATGAGACCAGTTATTAGTACTATAAACATCTCCGAACATTGCTGTGTTCAGTGTCGTCACAAGCGACAAGTTCGAACGTGACGGCCATCGAACTTTGAGGATTTCTGTGAAGCGAGATGTTCTGCAGATGCTTCCTGTCCTTGAGTTGGTAGTCGGTAATGCGTCGGAAATCCGAAGCATTTTCGTTACGTAAAAAATTTCTTCAAGCTGAGCGGTTCGTTATTGTCTACGGGATATAGATCGATTGCCGTTACCATAGACTCAAAGCTAGTGGTTGACGTTGCGGTCTTTGAGCTGAATTTTGACGCCACTGTTTTCAGCTTCAAAACTAACAGTGGGTTTCCGTCAATTAAAAAA